GAGTGTGTAAAGTTGCTTGTTGGTGCATACAAGATGAAGAAGCCCATAGGCCATCAATGGGCCAAGTAGTTCAATTTCTTGAGGGAATAATTGAGGTAAACTTGCCTCCAGTTCCGCGATCTTTCAACTTCTATGATCACTTCCAGGACAACGTGATTTTCTTTCCGAAGTAATCATCAAGCAAGAGTTATTGTTCAAAGAATAATTCATCAATTGCTTCTTGTAAGGCCGAGAGCCTAAGGACCAGTTTAACATTGTTGTACTGTTAAAAATTTTTATTATTGTTGTATTGTTAGTAATAAGTTAATATGACTAGAAGCATATAGACGTTTGGTAAATATTTCTACAAAGCTGCTATGAGTACCAAAAGTAGAGATTTAAGTGTTTGATAAACTGCGTATAGAATTACTGTTGAAATGTATAATAACAAAAGTAGGCATACATTATTATACATGTTTATTGTCACTTTTATTTCTATTTTTACGGTCAATATTCGTAACTAAAAATATTTTAAATTTTATTAATTAAAATAGTTTTTAAAAATAAATTATTTTTATTCAAGGAGAAAAATAATTCATCTACTAATATTTATTATTATTTTTTAAATATTTTGATAATTATTAAAAATATTTAAATGAAATGTAGCATAGCATGCTTATTAAAGATTTTCAATTTTTAAATAACTATTTTAAAAATATATATTTTTTACTTTAGTATGGAAAAAATAAAATAGTTACATTGATAGTTAAATTTGAATAATGGTAGCAAAAGCTACTGTGCAAAAGCAATCTCTAACTTGTTTCTCAAATTCTGCATTTTAACAGCAGTTTTTAGAAGCTTCTCGACAAAAAATAAGATTTATCAAACACTCTAACTTACTGTAACCTTTTTAAAAAAGCTAAAAGGTAATGTCAAACTGGGCTTAAAAAAACTCTCCCACATGCTACACGTCTTGAACCCAATCAAAACATAACTCTTTTCTTGTTAATTTTGTTCCTTGCTCTTGGGAACGCAAAGAGGATATGAGGAAAAACTACCCTAAGTTGTTCTAATTTTCAGGACGAAAATTCTTAAGGGGGGTAGATTGTAATGACTGAGAAAATTCTAGACTTTAAATAATACAATTTATGTATTTAAGCCAAGGATTTTTTTAGAAAATATTATGCTATATTTTGTGACTAAAGGATTTATAGAATTAACATCTGTATTCCTAAATTCTGTAGCAGATTTCATGCTAAGTTCATGTTTTATGATCAACGAAGCCATATGCATGAATACCCGAATCAATATTCCTACCTAACCCGTTCAGCCCTTAAGTTAGAACTCAAACGTCGATCGCCTCCCGGCCTCACAACAATTCAAATCCTAGTTGATAATCAAGGTCTTGATCACCTCTCGCTTTCACAATATCCTAGACTCTCAATGAGATTATCTAAGTGTTGATCTCCTCCAAGACTCACAACAACCTAGACTGTTTTTCAATTCCGGACTATGAAATCAATCTCTCCCGAGCATCAAAATGACAATTAATTATCTAACTCATTGGCTACATAAGTTAGAAACATTAAGCCTACAGAAACATAAATAAATTAAAATGGAATTTAACTAACAATTTATAAGATAATGAAAACATAGTTGAAATAAAGCTAATCAAGCCCTAGAATATGAAATCTAGCTCAACATAAAAGAATACATAACCAAAATCACAAATTCAAGAACAAAAACTAAAAAACTACAAAGAAAATGGAGAAGGAAGAGAAAACTCTTGTGGAGATAAACTTCAAGTCTTCAAATCTTCAGGAATCTCTGCCAAGCATTTTTCAGAATTTCTAACTCCAAGCTTCTCTCTCTAGGAGTTTTTGTGCCTCTCATCCTCTCCAAGTTGGGAACTCGGGTTTCTCTTGCTTAAGTATGCCCAAAAGTGGAGAATAACTTCATCTAAACTCAACCAAGGGTCAAATATGGCCATCCAAAATGATCAAGGGCCAAAAAATGGCCCAAAGGCACGTTTCAGCACAGTAGGGGGACGCGGCCGCACACGCTGTAGCAACCGTGGGCCCCGGCCCAGGGCTGTTCTTGGGAGTTTTTTGTCCCGTTTCGCGCAGCAATTTGCGCAGGTCCTTACCCTCGTCCGTGGCTCATCCCAATAGCTTTCAAAACTCTAATTTTTTCCTTGTTTTCACCTAATTCCCATTTATTAATGATTCCTACAAAAACACATCAAACTAACAAATTGTTAAAAACTCACAAATATTTGAACTCATAGGTACTTGATATGTTGGTAAATAACCTCCTCATCATACGGCTACAGATAATGAGCGCTTGGTTGGGAGAGCTTTCTAAAAGTTGTTTTAGCTTTTTAGGTCCAAATATTATTTCTAGTGGTGCTTGGATTATCTGTGAGAAGTGCTTCGGATTTTCAAAATAGCTTCCAGTCAAAGGCACAAAATCAAACTTTCAAAAAAATACTTCTCAATAATTTTTTAAACTTGTACCACAGTTTCATTAAAGCATCGTAAACTTCATTCTAATACTTTTAGTGCTTATTAAAGAATTAAAGCATCAAATACTTACTGAAAAACTACAATATTACTTCTCTTCTTAAAAGCAAAAGCAAAAATTCTACCTAATAAGCCTTAAAAAATAACAGTATATAAGAAAAGGAGGAAAAGGACACCTAGAAGAATAAGCGCGACAATAAAAAATGCAAGCGAGAATGACAAAAGCATGAAAGATGACAACAAAGAGAAAAATAACATCCTAGCGTATAAAAGACAATTATGAAAATCAATAACTTCCAACGATAATAAAATAAAATGTAATAAATAAATAACAAATTTATGAAATTAAATTAAGTAAATAACATATTTTAAACTATTTAAAAGTATAAAGCATTTTATCGTGTAAATATTTCGTTTATAATTAGTAAAAATATTTTTTTTACGTAAATTCTCTTTTTATGACTGCTAAGAAGATATTTTACCACACAAATTCTTTTTCACTAATCGTAAATAACATTTACATCAAATAATTTTAAAATAATTTAGTTTCAAAAATCTGTTATTTATTACAATTTTCCTAAAAGAAAATAAACGCAAAACCTAGGAATAAACATGTAAAGTTTTTATTAAAAAAAACGACTTGGAAATGATAAAATAAGCAATATAAAGTTTTAAAAAAAAAAACGACTTGAAAATGATAAAAGGACAAAGTTTAAAAAAAAAATCATCAAAACAACAGTCATCCTACCAAACAACAAAACAAGTAAGGAACGGAGACAAAATAAACGTAGGGATGAAAAGGACGACAACGAAACCGAGACCAAAAAATAAAAGACAACGAAAGAAAACGACAGCAGTGAGGAAAACGACATTCAAATGTGGCAACAATGTATAAAACGACGAACAGGTTCACTGAAGCAACGTTTAAATTCTTTTCAAAAAATATTGAATACAATTGATAGATTAAAAAAATAATAACAAATATCAATTAGATGCCCGACATTCCGCTAAACAATCTTCAACAAAAAATCCAATTATAAAATCAATTAGATACGCCAGTCCTTTCCACTATCTGTTTAAGTACGATGGGATTCTCATTTATTTGTCAAAAAGATAAAAATAAAAAAGGGGATAATTGGATTATTGATCGTATCTTGGTTGGTTCTATTTTTATTCTTTTTTTAAAAAAGATTTTTAACACATTTGTCTCATAAACTTACCGTGGTTTAGTAAATTACCTCCCAAACTTTTAATTTTAGTAAGTTGCCTTTTATACTTGTAAAATTATTACAATATGACTCATTTTAAGAAGAATGTATTTAATTAATGTCAGAAAAGCACGTTGAATGAAAAATTTCATCTCAATTTAAATATAACACAAATTTTTTAATTTCTTAACTGTTAATCCCTTAAATTTAATAAAAAAATTTAAAAAGATTTAGTAAAATAGGACACGCTGTAATAAATTTATAAATTTAGAAAGTTTATTGTTAAAATTAAAAATTTAGGGTAACAATTTTTTAAATGACGGTAAGTTTGAGTGACAATTTTACTAAATAGACATTTTTTTAAAGTGAATATGGCTTCGTTCTAATACATGACTCGATGTCAATACCATTAATTTTATTATCTACTATATAAAAAATATAAAAAAATAAAAAATAAAAAAGAAGAAAAGAAAAGGATCACATTTACGTATAAATCTGAACCGATCGAGATTTGATTGATTAAAACGATTAGAATTTGATGCTTACACGCATTAATCTTTTCTCAGTAGTCATTTTAGTCAATATTGTCTCAGTACAACGAACTCTATAACAAGACAGGTGCAATGTTTTCAACAAACAGGCAGCCTTGCTAATTAAGACCAGATTGCATTCCTTTTGCCCGCTTAAAAGCTTCACATATCGCGCACTTCTCATCGGATGGTTGGAGTTGATCATCAATAAGTTTACTTTTAAATGAGCGGTCGTGATGTTAAGTCAGATATGCTCATACGTAAATAGGCTTGCCCGTATTATACCTAAATGAAGAACTACGTACATACTATATACGTAGACAAGAAAATTGACGAGGTGATCTTGACCCTTGACATCATCATTTGCGGCTGCGGCAGGCATGTGAAATATTACATGTTACGTGGACCAATCATGTAACAGTTTGACTAAATAAGGTTCAAATTATTAGAAAGAAGAAATGAACTTGAATTTCACTTTTAATTAACAACAGCCGAAACCTGATCGTTTTGATTTTTGATAACTGACATTGTGGCGTCTTAGCCGTTTCTCGGATGACCAAAGTACCCTTTTTATCTTACGTGAGATTTTTCACGTACTGATACTTTTATCAGAGAATTTTTAATTTACTTCTGAGAAGAAGTAGCAGAGGAAGACAATTACTCGGATATTACAGCAAAAAATAATAATAATAATAATAATCTACCTTAAATTGGCATGTCCTATCTAGGCTTTGTAACCATTAATTCTAACTCTCCCTCGCTCTCCAATTTCTCTCATACACACCCCACCATACAACTATAAATGTTCTAGTAACGATTCCTTTCTCTCCAAAATTTGTAACAATTTCTCTCATACACACCCCACCATACAACTATAAATGTTCTAGTAACTATTCCTTTCTCTCCAAAATTTGTGCCGCCATGGATCTCAATTCTTTCCCAAGATTCATGCTTTTTGTTCTTTTCCTATTGCTATGTGTCACCACCCATTTTTCATTCGGAGGCGATACCATCTCCGAGAGCCGATCCCTCTCCGGTGATCATACCGTTGCATCGGCAGGCGAGGTCTTTGTGTTGGGATTCTTTACTCCAGGTAATACTTCAAACTACTACATAGGCATGTGGTACAAGAATGATCATTCACAGACCATACTTTGGGTGGCAAATAGAGAAAAGCCAGTCTTAGATAGATTCTCTTCAGAGTTGATGATATCACATGGCAATTTAGTTCTATTCAATGAAACTAAAAACCCAGTTTGGTCCACCAACATTAGTTCCACTAGTAATTCTGTACGAGCAGTTCTTCAGGACGACGGGAACATTGTAGTCTCGGACGAAAGATCTGTTTTATGGCAAAGTTTTGATCATCCAACTGATACGTGGCTACTTGGTAGTAAAATTGGTTACAATAAAATAACTAAAACAAAACAAGTTCTCACTTCTTGGAAGAATTCAGAAGATCCTTCTTTAGGCCTCTTCTCTTTCGAGCTAAACCCGAATGACATCTCGTATAACACACTCTGGAATAGGTCTAGGAACTATTGGACCACAGGACCTTGGACGGGAGATATCTTTAGTTTAGTCCCCGAGATGAGGGGCCAAATGATCTGCTATTTCAAGTTTGTTTCGAACATTAGCGAGACCTCTTTCACCATGTATGCTTCTAACTCTTCGGCTATTTCTAGACTTGTGATGGATGTTTCAGGGCAAATGAAGCAATTCATGTTGCTTCCTAGTAAGAAATGGAACTTGCTCTGGTCTTTTCCGAGGCAGCAATGTCAAGTTTACGCCTTTTGCGGTGCTTTTGGCAGCTGCAGTGAGAACTCGTTGCCCTTCTGCCGGTGCCTGTCGGGGTTCAAACCAAAATCGCAAAATGATTGGGGTTTGAAGGATTACTCCGGCGGGTGCATGAGAAAGACTAAATTACATTGTGGGAATAATAGTCTTGGTCATGGTGAGAGAGACAAATTCCTAGAATTTCCCGGCATGTCATTCCCTGAAGATCAACAATTTGAGCCAGCAGAAAGTATCAAAGAATGTGAATTTAAATGTGCAAATAAATGTTCATGCACTGCATGTGCTTACGACGACAATGGCTGTTCAATTTGGATTGGAGATCTCTTGAATCTGAAGCAACTCGCACCAGGGGACAGTAGTGGAAGGACTATATACATAAAATTAGCAGCTTCAGAGTTTCAAAGTGGGGGAAAAAATAAGAAAAAGTTTGTTGGCGCTGCGGCAGGTGCAGTTGCAGGGTTTGTAATTTTTCTTAGTCTTTTTGTGTTCTTCACTTTGAAAAGAAGAAAGAAAACAATTGGAACAGGAAAAGCAGTAGGGGGTTTGGTGGCATTTCGATATAGAGATTTGCAAAATGCAACTAAGAACTTTTCGGAGAAATTAGGTGGGGGAGGCTTCGGTTTGGTTTTCAAAGGTATATTGCCAAACTCAACCGTAATAGCGGTTAAGAAGCTTCAAAGTGTTGGCCAAGGAGAAAAGCAATTTCGAGCAGAAGTTAGCACAATTGGGACAATTCAACACGTTAATCTAGTTCGACTTCACGGATTCTGTGCTCAAGGTTCTAAAAAATTGTTGGTCTATGATTACATGGCCAATAGATCTCTAGATTCACACCTTTTCCATGAAAACGATTCGAACGTTTTGGACTGGAAAACAAGGTACCAAATCGCTCTAGGGACAGCAAGAGGGTTGGTTTATCTGCATGAGAAGTGCAGAGATTGCATCATACACTGTGACATTAAGCCTGAAAACATTCTTTTAGACGCCGAATTTTGTCCCAAGGTGGCAGATTTTGGACTGGCAAAGCTTGTCGGAAGGGAATTCAGCAGGGTCTTGACAACCATAAGAGGAACAAGAGGTTATCTCGCGCCAGAATGGATTACAGGCATGGCAATAACATCGAAAGCCGACGTTTACAGCTACGGAATGATGCTTTTCGAACTGATATCTGGCAGGAGAAACTCGGAGGTATCCGAAGATGGCAAGGTGAAATTCTTTCCAGCTTCGGCTGTGAGTGTCATAGTCGAAGGAGGCGATATGATGAACCTATTGGACCCAAGATTAGAGGGAAATGCCGATATGGAAGAGCTCAAAAGAGTTTGCGCAGTTTCTTGTTGGTGCATTCAAGATAATGAGGCTGATAGGCCATCTATGGGACTTGTGGTGCAAATTCTAGAGGGAATTATAGGGCTAGAACTGCCACCAGTCCCGCGATTTCTACAACAACTCATTGATGAAAACCAGGAGAATGTAATTTTCTTTACCCAGTCGTGATCAACCAGGACATTTTCTTAGCTACGACTTTTTTTTTTTTTTTCATTCTATCCTCTGCTCTTTTGCGTGTAAATTTGAAGCCAATGAAATAGTTCAGACATTGTCTTTTTTTTCTGTATATTTACAGAGAAAAGTTCTGCACAAGAACATCTGAATGCCACAGTAGTGTTAGAAGAAATGCTAAAAAGAACTGTAGCACTGCTATTCTAATACAGGGGAAACAGTATGCATTCGCGTTTAGTTACCATGGCGAAATGGTAATGTGAATAGTAATAGAAAGGGTAATGGAATTGAATTAAAATGAGCTGGAAACATAAATTAATTTTTTAATTTGGTTGGAGTTATAGAATTAAGACTTGAATAGGATTATGCGGTTTGGTTGATCACGTAATAGAATAGAACTAAACTGTATTTTGATAAAAATACCTTTAATTAATAATCATCAGAGATTTAATATTTAATTAATTAAAATAGTAAAAAATAATTTAATTATTAAAAAAGTAAAAAAAATAATCATCATGGATTTTTATGGTGCCAAAATTACTCTTTTCAAATAATTAAATTATGTCCAGATACAAAGAAATGAAGAATCACGACACACAAAGCATTGGAAAGATGCTTTAAAGATTAAAAAAAACTTTTAAAACCCACATAAACAATCAGTAAAACAAGCCAGAAGAAGTCAACGAAAACAACGAAAAACAGAAAACCCAGAACATTACCACCCAAACAGGTAGAGAAATATTGAAAATTTTGAAAACCCACCTAGGTTTTTCGGTTTTCTACCAAGAACCACAAACAAATTATCATAAATGTCGCCCACCAAATATAGAATTATATGTAAAAAAAAATGAAAAACTAAAAAAAAAAGTCACAATAAATCAACCTATAAGCCTATTAACACCCAAAAATAAGCAAACTAATGCAATTAATTTAAAATAATAATAATAAATCACACAAAACTCAAAACGAAGGAAGAAGAGGGATCTCTAAGAACCATGAAGGAAGAAGAGGGAAGAATAACGAAGGAATAAGACTGTACCTGCTCAGATTAATGAAGTGACCAACGGTCGTTTCTCGTTGCCGGGGTCAATCGTCGATCGACCTTCCGTCAAGTGTCAGCGCTGCCGTCGCCGGCCTCAGTTGGCGTAGTTGTCGAGAGGGAGATGGGGCTAGGGTTATTTCTTCTTTCGATCTTCTTCCTATCGAGGACGAAGGCCAAAGTGGGAAAAAAAAAAAAAGAGAGGCCTGAATGGAAAGGCCTTTCCACTCGCACCCCACGTGAATGAGGATTCACTCAAATTGAGTGAATGAGCTTTCCCACGGAAAGCCTTTTCTAGCCAAAACAAAGTAACCAAACAATGGAATTATCAGAATGGCCATTCCTTTCCGTTCTATTCCTCTCAACCAAATACATACTAAGGTCTCGTTCATTTTACCGATTTGAGTTTTTAATTTTAGATTTTTATAGTAAAAAAACTCTCAGAAAATGTCACATCTAATTTTTTTTGTTACGGTAAAAAGCTCTCAGAAAATGTCATATCTCAACTCGAATTAAAAACTCAAATCCACAAAATGAACGAGGCTTAATAAGTGTGTTCTTATAGAAAGAAGCACTTAAATTTAAAAAAAAAAAAATGCCCTTATAAATCTGCCATGGATAAGATATCAATACATCATAGCTCAAGAGATCAGGTGCGGACAGCTACAAACCTGGAATCCACATTAATCCGGTTTAAACAAAAGATGTGGACCTTCATGAACATTGTGACACTAGTCCAAAAAAAAAATGAAAATAAATAAACAAAGAAATAAACAGCATGAACAAGGGCAAGTAGTGAAACATAGAAATTATGTTCAGAGAAAAATAAGAAGAGAGAGAAAGAGATTAATTCAAACCCAACTCTCAAGAAACTTGGGAGTGTTCATGCCTTTTTAATATTATGATATGATATTGCCCTCTTTATGATTATGAATTATATCCATGTCACCTTATTGGTGGAGTAGGGAATGGGAGCTAGGTTCAGAAACATCCACAATACACTATATTAAATGAACCAATAAATTTCCCATGGATAAACAAAAAGGAATTCTGATCCTTAATTTGGGGTTATTTAAATAAGATTAGTTGGCCATTTTCCTTCAACTTTTGGAATGAAAAGCCACAACTCCATCTCTTTCTTTCTTTTTTTTTTTTTTTTTTTTTTTTTTTTTTTTTTTTTTTTACTTTTTTTGTTCTTGTTCATTAAAGATAAGCCATAAATGTAATCCCTGCACCACTTGCTTTCTTTATTTCCATCTTTTTCGTAAACAATTTGAGAGGGACTTTAATCCACAGTACAGCTCATATATACATCTCAGACAATACTAGAACATTTACTAAAGAAATAAGCCCACTACTAGTAGAAATTTAGGGAACAATTGCTTTTCTTTAGATGTTGTTAAAAGATTTAACTACGCTTAGAAAGCGTTACAAAATCTGAATTTTATTGTATGTAGCTGGGACATACAGCGACGGCTATGAATTAAACATCTCCTAGTTTGTGCGTGGGGATGCCACAAGTCAAGAAATGACACATTAACTACGACTTCCACAACAGCCGACGACATTAAATCTATCACATAGGACAAAAATGTAAGAACAGCTTTTCTCAGAATAGATGAGTATGAGTTAAAATGTCTTTGCGCATGCATGTAAGTATACATACATTTAAGGCCTGATTAGTTATTTGATAAGATCTACACTTTATGTTCTTTTATATAAAATAAAATAAATTCAAAGCAACATCGAGCACAACATTAGTAAATTGAAAAAAGTGTTGTTCAACCTGACCGGAATTACTAAGGCCTCGTTCTTCACTGATTTGAGTTTTCAGTTTTAGGTTTCTACAGTAAAAAGCTCTCAGAAAATGCCACATATAACTTTTTCTACTACAGTGAAAAGCTTTAAAAAAATGTCACATCTCAGCTCAAATTGAAAACTCGAATCCACGAAGTGAACGAAACCTAAGGTTTATCTCACAGTTAATGAGCCCCGCCCCACCACTCCGATGGAGCAAACTCATTTAGATAGAGTCCCATTCACCCTCACGTGACTCTGATCAATAAGGGTATTCTCCTGAAGTACTTCCTAAATTGTGGAATTTATCCTTAATAAACTCTTATCCCTAGTTTGGCAAACATAAATGGAATGACCAATTTTTGTGCCAATGGAATTCCCGTTTTTATGACAGAAGGAAATTCCCATTTTAATTACTTGTCATAGGGATTTTTCTCATCCGGTACAGACTAATGAACAGGCAATAAATGGCTTGAAGGTAGCACAAAGAATATCCTATCACCTATGCATTAACTTCTCTTGGCAACAATATGAGCTCAGAATTAGGAACTTAGCGGTAATAAAATCGGCTTGTAAATGCATAATGTGTAGGCAATATATACACACACTTGCTCTTGCTTTATTTACTTTAAGTTGAACTTTGATATTCTTCTGTCAAAAAAATAAAAAAGTTTAACTTTGATCTTAGCCGTAACTAAATCAATCCTTATCTTATATTGATACAATATAGTAACCAAAAAACAAAAGGGGAACACATGATAAATATTACTATTGGTAGTTAGGGAAGAATGTCAAAAGTTCTCACCCTTTTTTCATAACCACCCACACTAGTATTTCCTAGTCATTATTAATTCAAAGATTAAAAATGGACGAGATTTGTCACCATTTATCAAACAAAATTAATGCGCTTCTTTAACTTATATATACATATATGATATATATATATACATATATATATATATATGTATGTATGCGCGCGCGTTCTTGCACTCTATCTTCTCTATCATCATAAATTGCACCTTAACTCCAACTGATTTCTGAACCCTTTGCAGTTTTAGCTGTCCTAAAGAGCTAAGGATAAAACTTTGTCTAGCTTGGGAACTAGCATGGGAGACATATGTGTATAACATACTTTGGAGAGTTTTCAACAACATAAAAAACTCACCGTTTGTAATGCCTTTCTTTCTCCTACGTGACATAGATATTTAATTCAACCAAAGAATAAAAAAAAAGCACAGATATTAATTAGCTTCACAAGGTTACCGTTTGTTGTTCCTACCAACTCCAATCCCACGTGGCAGACAACAAGCTAATTAAATGCTACTTCAATATATTTTTTTTAGAGGAAATAATTAAATTCTATTAGAATCAAATAAAAGTAACTTTTTAGTGTGACTCAGTGCTCCAAATCCAACCGTCTTTTTGGTAGGGTATTAAAGCAAGGCTTGCGTCTTTTTGATACATTAATAATTAGAGAAGATGTCTTTAAAAGGAGCTTTTCAACTAAATGGAGCTTTTCAACAATTTTTTTTTTTTTTTTTTCAATTTACCACCTGTTTCTCTCTCTACTTTCTTGCTCTGAGTTGCCTCAAGGCACTACCTTGCTAACCTTCACATTAGATTATATTTGGAAACATTCCTAAGATGTGAGTGACACTCCTTGGAAAAATTCCTAAAATGTGGGGGACCCCACCCCCTTTGAAAAAAAAAAAAAAAAAAAAAAAAAAAAGCCCAAATGTATAATCTTGTCTTTTTAAAGTAGAGATAAATCATAAATAAATCTTTAGCTTGGGTTACTGAATTTGATGTGAACAAGAGAATTTAAATAACAAACATTGAAGTTTCATACCATCCATAATGATATTGTTTGAGATAATTGGGTTTATTTGTTATAGGGAACAATGAATTATGAAGCATCCATCAATGTTATTATTATTATTTTTTTGCTTGTCAAAATGACTTTTATTGAACAAGCTGGGCGAGCAAATTAGTGTTTACATCAGCACTCAACATTCCATCAATATTATGTTAAAAATGTGTGTTTTTTTTTTTTTTCTAAGCATGTCACAAATATTTTTTTTTGTTTTGTTTTTTGCCAAGCGTGTAGTATATATGTTTAAAAGAAATGTTAACATTACTCTTTCTGTCACACTTTTTTTGATAGTGGAGTCTACATGTCAAACAGTAAATACAGATAGTGATAAAGAGAGTGATAGAAAGAGTAATATTAATATTTTTCTATGTTTAATCATCCTAATAAGTGATCGCAAAACAAGTTTTCCCTCAATACACGAGTACGACTCACGA